CAATAAATTTCATTCTTAAAAAAGGCACAGTGTTAGATTTAGAGATAAATTAGTGAAGGGAATGCATGGTATTTAATTTTGTCCTTGACACACCGGTAATCATCACAAAAAAAATTCAAAAATTTGACACAAGAAATCTTAATTTGATTTAGTTTTCAACAGCAAATATGTTGTCTCTTACTTCCTTAATAAAATAAGTGTCAGTCTCACCATGTGTGCTTATGGGACATTTGTCCACCTAAGGAAATACGTCTACTATTAGAAATCCTCTCATGAAAGTGCCCAGAACTAGGACAGAACTGTACAGTACATACTAGTACAAATACCAAAATATAAAGGGGAAGTTACGAGCATCTGCCTATAAAACAAGGACTGCTCTTTTCTGATTATGTCCAAGAAAATTATTTTAGTTCCTAGTTTTGATAATTTTGCTTTTTTAACATTATTTTTGTCTTGGGACATTGTAGTACAGTTGAGATAATACCTGTCCCATGACCCCAAAGATCTCAAAATACTTATGGACATGCTGACTTTCTGATCATACATACTTTGGATATGTGGCCTTACTAAAGTTGATATGACTGGAATGGAGAGGCTCTTTCTTTACATACAAGCAACTTATTCTAACCCCAGAGAGTGATGTTAAGACTCAGAAGAGAATCCTATCTTTTTTATTCTTTAAGAGAAGTCCTACTGAGAAGCAATCAGTCAGTCCCAAAAACTACATGCCTATTTGCTTTCTGCCAGACTGTGGTTGGACCATTACCTGCTAGACTCTGTTTTGATAACTGGGTCCTAAAAACTTCCTCTCATTGTGAACTGAGAAAAGTAGGTGAAAAATTAACAAAATCTTCCAGTAACAACATATACTGCTGTATACTGCTAGAAAGGCTGTGAAAAGGAGGCAAAGCTTGGACTGTAAGTAAGAAGGACTGTGAAAGGGTCAAGCCTGAAACAAGGAGAGGATGAAAAAAAACAATCTATGGATCAACACTGACTTGTCAAATATTAGACCTAATTCATGGCTCGAATGATGAGGGGGTGGCTAATTCTACTCACAAACCACCTTTCTGGACCTTTAAAAAGAAAGGCTTTGGACACCAAACTGGTGGAAGAGACTCTTGGTGGAAAGGCTGGCAGGCCACTGCTTTGTGCCAGAGACTCTTTCATTTATAAGCCTTGGCTCATCATTTCTTATCCAGATTTGCATGCCAGTGAGGACAACTGACTGTCACAACAAGACCATCAAATATTTCAATCTGATATACTGTATTCCGGATTCTACTTTATCTCCCCTCCCTTTTGTGACTCTTTCTGTGCTCCACTATGTTATTTCTCTCTCAGCTTTTCACATGATTTTGAGACCACTTGCCCTGTGGTCAACAAAATGACCCAGCTTATTCAGTATTGCCCAGCCTACAATCACTTATAGAAAGAAACCTAACCAGACTTGTTGGATGACATTCTGCATCCAGGGAAATGAACCAGGATGAAGTACAACCATTGTGGCTGACTTGCCAGCACAGAATATCTGTCTGTGACAAACCACTTTATTTCCTAAGACAATCAATAAAAAGCATATTTCTTCCCCATGCTGTCTTTTACTACCCTATCTTGCACTGTGTCACTTTGTTTGGTCAAAAGCAGGAAGTGAGCTGCTATTCTTACTTCAAACTATTTGAAATTCAACAGCAGAACTAACCCTTTCTTTCCCACTGACATGGACTGCCTGAGAGAATGAAAGACAGTCTAAATATCCTCTCTCTAACAAAGAGAATCATAGATTTAGAACAAGGTTTTTTTTTACCAGGCAATTTTAAATGCTTTCTTGGGAGGTTTTTTCAGTTGTGCGACCTAATCAATAAATTTCCAAAGTTTACTAGTATTAGGCTTACATTTGTTTTTTAACACTAACAAACAGCTAATAAAGGAGGGCGTTTGAACAAAGGCCCACAAATCTCTTTGAGAATGGCACAGAACAGTTCCTCATATAACTCCAGAAGCCCCACTGGAGTATAGATTAATACAATCACTGATTAGTGAATATACAAATCACACAAAAGGCCTGCTAACAGCATGAGCTGAAGTAGGCCCCAATGAATTAGAAACTAGGCATACCATATATGACTTGTACAGAAGTCCTGGAAAAAGATCTCATTAGTTTTTGAGGTGCCCCCAAGGTGAACAGATAGAGAATGAATTGGTAAGACCAGTACAGAACATCAAAATTAAGATCAGAGTGACCTCGCAAATAGGTGTCCCTATTGGGTGGAAAGAGTGAACTAATTGTTGAGAAGCAGGACGTGGATGATGTCACCTAAATATATTATAGTAATTAACGAGAACTAGAAAGTACATGCTGTACACAGGGAGTTGTTTTGATCAGTGTATAAAAAGGGGCCTAAGAAACCAGTAATGCTTTTTTACTGGGCATTCATGCTGGTACCATGCCTGCAAATGACCTAGCTAGCACCAAGGACCAGCTGGTAAAAGATGTTACTGTCTAGGTTTGTTTGTAAACAATAAAAGTGATTAAGCTCTCTGACACTAAGAACCAAAGCCTGCAGTCTCTTTCTTCTAACAATCAGGCTGTTACGGGACAACATCACAGATTATATCTTGACAGTGCACGTAAAGACCATCCAAATTGAGGTAGCCTCACATGACTAGTAATACCTAACCCCTGAACAACACTAACAGTCAGATAACATTGATGGAGATAACATCCTCGCTCCCTGGAGACTTGCAAAATATATAAACAGGCTAGGTTAAACAGTGATACTGTCTAAAATAGGGCACATACAGACATATAATGAATGAAGAATTGTATGCTTTATCTTCAGAAATGAGTTATTTTTATCCAAATTTGTAATTTTGATATTTTGTAACATAAATAATGTGAAGTTTCTGGAAGTTTTATTTAACTGTGTTGAAGACTAATAAATTGAGTAGCCTCTCTTTACTGGCATCAAAGCTACAGTTTTGACATTAGCTTTCACCTTGAAGTGATGTGACTTTCCCCCATATTAGTTATTTGTCTGAAACATGAATCCATTAAATAGTACTGACATTGATGATAACCTATTATTTTGGAAGTTGACAGCTAAAACAAGACTGCTGCCTTCCTAAACTAATACACAGAGCTTATAAGGAATGGTTTATTTCATGTGATCTAACCAACATGATAATTCAATAATTTGACATAAGCCTCCTTTATTTAATGCAATTTGTTTATTTTGTGTCTTTGCTTAGTTATGTAATTTACTTTATAAAATATGTGACGTTGGACATAATTCGGGTGCTGCTTGGGTGTTTCTTCCCCAGATGTCAGTGTCCCATACCAGAGAAGTTCCTGTAGTAAATAAAAGGCAACTCTGTGACTTATCTACAGAATGACTTCTAGAGTCTTTCCATAACTGGAGGTCTGAACTGGGCCACTGTTGATTTCTGAAGGAAAGCTGACATCCGCATTAGTAATTTCTTTTGATAAGCAACTTGAATTGTACAACCTTTGAGACCATTACAGGGCAGATGATATGGTCTAGGGCAGATGATATGGTCTATCTAAAGACTGACCTGTCTTCTACAGTAAGCCTATACTTTACAAAAAGGTATTATAATTAAAAACTTAAAAACGCTGAAAGCTAAATCACTTTAATTAAAAAGGAGACAATGGGATGGTGTGGAATCAAAATCTACTTTGTGTTCCAGAAACACAGTAGCCTACATGTCTTACACGTGAATGCAATACTTTTTTTTCTTCTATTTAACTCACAGGCATTAATACAAATTAAAAATAGCAGTTTAGCTAAGAATACAACAAAATTCATAGTAGTTTTTCCAAACAGTTATTTTTCGAGTCTGTGACAATGTTAATCTAAAGCCAGCAGTAGATAAGAATGCAACCCTGTGTAATTATTTTCCCTCCATCCATAAAGTATTAGTTTATATACAGCCACAATAATTTATAGAGATGGGTCTCTAAATACTCATTTGTCATTAAGTCTGTGTAGAGGCAGTATATTTCTTGACATCGAGATAGCAAGAAAAGAACACAGTCATTTGTCAAGGCCACTTTGTAGAGAAGGCAGGAATTTTTAAGGCAAGAAAGAGACTTATAACTGATTAGGGTATACTAATATGCTAATTTTGACGTCCAAAAACTCTAGCTTATCAGTGGGCGCATCTACACGAGACACTTAAAGCACAGTAACCTAATACCACTGCAACTAGGGTACCAGGTAAAAACCATGCTAATATGCTACTGCACAGTGTTATTAGATTATTGAACAGTAAGTGTCACAAAAAAACTGTGCGCCGGGCACTACTGCGCAGTAACTGTAGTTACTGTACATTTAGTTAGTACTTCATTAAAAAAGTATTAAACTAAATGCACAGTAACTACTGTGCATTAATGAATGTGTAGACGTGCCTAGTTTAATGTATCACCCTATACATAAAAAGTACAACAAACAACATAATTCAAAATACAAGGTCTCCAATAAACTAAAAGCGGCTTAATTTTCAGAAGTGCTGCAAACCTATAGCTCAAAGTGATTTTAAGTCATGTCCTGGGTACTCAGCTCATGTGAAAATTACAGCGTGGTGCCTAAATCTAGTCTCTTATGTCTCTTAATAGGTGGTCTAATTCTCCAGCACACTCAGCATATACCAGCTCTCAGTCCACATTTCAAATAATTCACTGAAATAGCTGACAGTTGTTGGGTACACCAATTCTGAAAATCTAACTTTAGACATTCAGATTTGAAATTCTTTGCAGGCTAGTTTTTCCTGATTAACTATGCAATGACTATACCTCTTTGCCTTCACTGCACTACACAGCACTTGCTGCTGAACCAAAAGAATTATCTACGTAACTAAAATTGACAACTTTAATTCATAACACTTAGGCATAACAATTATCATAGTATAGTCGTTTTTATTAAAGTCATCCATAAGCTATATTACATAAACCTGCTAACTTGAATAAAATAACTTACTTCTGTCTCCATGAAATTTCTGACAAGTTTTTACGGCAACAAATACATCCTCCTCCTTCACTGGATCACCCTATCAGGAAATTGACAAAAAAAAAAGGAATACTACGATTGAAGGCACTGCTTTTAACTATGTTACATGCATGTGTATGGTTTGGCAATAAGAGAGAAAATGAAAGCAACTTTGCACAAGCCCTGACCTTACAAATAAAAAATTAAATTAAACAAATAAAAAAATAAATGGCTGTAGTGGTTAAGTGGCAGAGAAGGATTGAGAACAGAACAATGGATCGATCATGCACAGTTATTAAAAAGATACTGCTTTACCAGAAAGCAGACTGTATAAATCGATTGCTTTCAAACATTTAACATTCAATATAGTATTTTGTTTTACGTGCTTTGAGGTTTTCAATATTTTTATAATATTTTATTTATCACAGATTAGTAAGGGACCTCTATGGTCATTTTCCCCCTAAATCCATGCACAGTTGCAGCATTTTTAACCATCCCAAAGAGAGGCCTATCCACAATTCCACAACTTCCCTTGACAGCTTCTTTCCTCCCCCCACCCGTTCCACACCACACTGGACTTACCAGCTGGAGGCACCTGGATCAGAAGTTGGATCGGTATTGGCCGATATGCCTCCTTAAATATCAGCTATCGTTATCAGCCCCAAAAATCTCTATAGGTACACACCTACCTAATGGCAATGCTGTCATTTCAAATTTATAGAAAAAAGTCACAAAAACAGAAATAGACGGTGCATGTATTACTTTTATCCAACAGTTTCCACATAAATTACATGGAGATAGGTAATAATATTACTGCACCTTGCATTTTGAATTCATATTTTAAGGGTGCATAAGGGGAGTTTGTCTATTCAATGGATTAAAAAGATCTCAGGGCACTACTCTGAGAACTGGAAGAATGGGCTGTATCAAGACTTCCTACATAATCCTGGACAAGTAACTGAGCACCCAAGTGCATCAGTTCCCCTTCTGTATAATGGGATTAGTTGTATTTCCTTGCTTTATAGGAGCACTCTGAAGAAAAGTACATTAAAAATCATGGAATGTTCAAGTATTATGGTAATGGACATCATCCAAGTACCTAAGATCACATCTAACAGGAAATAACATATGTAGACAGAAGATTTCGAGTACAAGATAAGGCTATACTAAATTATTTCTTTATTCCCTTTATTTGATTAAAAATATTCTCTCTAGATCTTTCAGACTTTGTAAGTCATGTTTCAGCCTTTGAGAGAAAATAGTAATTTTATCTCTAGGACATAAATGCAATTTAAAATACGGTACTTACACAAAGTGGTAGGAAAATATTGAACATTGTGGCACAATGACCCGCCTTAAATGAGTCCATGTTATCTGTACAAAACTCAGGCACTGTAGTAAGATGTGGTCCACTGCCTTTGTGCCAAATATATAGTGCAATCTGTCAAAATATAGAACATCCACAGCAATGAGTAATGGAATTAGATAACACTTTCAATAATAGAGAAATCAATGTTATAAAGCAAATAAAATATAACAGGCTGGAGAGTAGAACTGTGCAAAACAGCACCATTTCAACTTCTGTTTCACCATTTTGAAAGGATAGTGTTTCATTTTGTTTCAAAAGCACTGTTCCATTTTGTTTTGTCAAAACTGTTTCAGTGTTGTTTAGACGTTTTGCCCATAGTCTATAATGGGGAAGCACAAAACTGCCTATACCTTTGTCATTTTTTGCCTGATTCAGATGAAACGTGCAGGGATGGTGGCCCCTTCTGAGGCCAGGAAGCCTGCCAAGTTTCCAGAAGATAGGTACAGGGTTTTCTGGAAAACTGTACCTCAAAGTCTTGAAAGCAAAACTCATGAATGTACAGTGGGGTGCAAACTGCAGGCATGGTAGCCCCTTGCTGAGGCCATGAAGCCTGCCACCTTTCAAGAAGAAAGGTGCAGGGGTTTATGGGAAACTGCACCTCAAGCTGCTGACAAGCAAAACTCGTGTCACGTGTGACTGTGTGTGTGTTAAGGTGTGCCCTCACTGGCACTGGGGCCTCTGCATGACATGGCAGTGTGCTCCAGTGAGGTCTTCTCCTCCCCTACAGCCTCAAATTGGTCCACCACTTTAAATGACAACAGGTAAAATAACAACTTAGTGAGCAGCAGCATCTCAGGCAGCCAAACTGACACAGCCTTTCTTTCCTCTCCTGCAGGAGCTTCTTCTCCAGCAGCTGCCAGAGAACTCTCCCTGCCAGCCCCAGCCTTGGGGCTGAGATGTGCCCAGGGCCCTGCATCCTTCCAGTCAGGTGCTAGGGGTGTTGGTCTAAGGACACGGCGCTGGCAGACAAAGTGTCCCCCCCACCCCAGCCTGTCCCTCACCCCCTGACACCTCCATGTCCATTTTTACTGACTAACTTTCTTGCCTGCATTGCATGCCAAACCAGCCTCTCGCTTCTTTACTATTCCTTCCATCCAGGAACAGCGCGCGCACGCGCGCGCGCACACACACACACACACACACACACACACACACACACACTCTCTCTCTCTCTCTCTCTCTCTCTCTCTCTCTCTCTCTCTCACTTCTGCAGGTGCTTCCTCAGCCTGACAAAGGGTTTTTCAACCCAAAAGCTGGCATCCCAGGCAGACAAGTTGAGCTCACCTGAAGCCTCACAACTCCACTGAAAACCAGCACACCTCAGACCTGTCGAAGACGTGACAGATTTGGGTTTTCCCCAGCCAGGACTGCGTGCATGCATGGGGTGGCTGGAGGTTATGGCACCTCCTACCCACCTTTCATCAGGGGGATCCTTAGTCCTGGCATTTCCTGGGGCTGCTGCACTGCCAGCAGTCGCACCAGGCCTCCCAACCTTGGCAGAGTGCAGTGTTAGTGGTCATGCCCAGGACCTGGTGTCTCCTCCTTCTCCATCATCCCAGCCCATACCTCCAAGTTCATCCTGTCACAGCAGCTCAGCAGGAAAGTGTTCTTCCCTTGCTGGCTGGTGATGCAGTGAGTGCCCCCTCCAGCTCTGAAAGCGGGGCATTAAATGGTTAAAAAAAAAAAAAGGAAATAGGTGCAGATGGAGTGAGGAGGGTGGCATTCACTCCATCTGCACCTGGAGCTTAGGGACCCCAGCAGTGGGAAGTTCACCTTGAGGAACACCAGCTGCTCCACCAAACCAGGATCCAAGCAGGTGCGGTGGGGTGTCACTATATCCCCAGCAATGCTGAACACTCTCTCACCTTGGAACACTCCTAGGCAACCGTGGCCAGATTCGGCCAGCTCTGCCTGCGGCTTGCCCAGTAGGCCAAGGGGTCACACAGAGGCTCCACATCCTCGGTGAGATAGGCAGTCACCAAGACCTGAGTGCTACCTGCCTGATGGTGGGATCTGGTGCTTCTGGACCTCACCAGGGAAGCCGTGCCCTGGGCCACATTGGCAGCGCCTGTGGCGAAGGAGGAGATTGGCTGGTGGATGGCATGCTAGCATGGGACAGTGGATCCCCCTCTTCCACATCCCCCCACCTCTGCCGTTCTGCCTCCGTGACTCCCTTCACCAGCACCTCCGTCCTCTGATTCAGGGTTTGGCTGCTGCATACATTGCCCTTCACTCTCGGGTCACACATGGTGGCCAGCATGTGGACAATACTGGACTGCAAGGGATCAAGCCATTTCCTGATACCCTCCTTCAGCCACCTCACCAGTACTTGGAAGTCTGGTGACAGCAACTTGCCCCAGCCAGGAACACTGATCCCCTGGAAGCTCTCCATTTGTCACTGAAGTTCCCTCACTACAGAGATCACCTGGCCAAGGAGAGCATCGCCAGTGCTGAGGGTCTCGGTGGCCTTGAGGAAGGGCTTGAGGACCACCAAGGTCTGGGAGATGGTATCCCACTCAGATGTTAAGGGGGTTGCTGATCCCAATATCCCCGAGCAAGGCCACCTCATGGATGGCCTTCTGTTGCTCCACCAGCTTCTTGAGCATCAGGTATGTGGAATTCCACTGAGTCTCCACATCCTGCATGATTTTGTGCTACAGGATGTTCAGATCTGCCTGTTTCTCCCGCAGCATCTTGCCCACCTTGACTCTCCGATGGAAGTAGCCAACCACCTTCCTGCATTTGGAAATGAGCCTGCTGGTGGTGCTAGCACTGGTCGGACCAGTGCCCTGTGAGGGACAGGTAGGCATGATCTCCACCCTGGCTGCTCCAGATGTCCGAGCTGTGGACCTGCCTTGTGCAGCTCCTCCCTCAAGTACTCCCTGCATGTCTTATACTGGGAGGGCACAACCATCCTGCTGAAGGTGGTACATGCAGGCACTTGGTAGGATGGGGCCATGATCGCCATGAGCCACCTGAACCCCAGCCACTCAACTAAGGAGAAAGGCTGGTCATCCACAGCAAGCATCTCCCCAATGCTCTGGATGTTCTCGCTCACCCTTGCAACACGTCCCCCTCTCTGTCCATCTTTTCCCCCACTGTTCCAGGGTGGCCTGCCTCTGCTTTGGGGGAATGGAGGCTTTGGAGCGAGGGGCACTTCCCTTTGGGCAAGCTCGCGCTGGTGCCAGGCTGAGGAGGAGCAAGGGAAAGGGGTTGGTGCCCGTGGAGTTGCATCAGCATCCCCGTGGTGCTCATGTGTTTTGTTCACTTGCCCCAGCTAGTTTTGGCTCTGCAGTGCATGCAAATAGCCTATTGGGATCATCTGCCAGCTCAAAATGATCCCAGACCATACTACCTGCTCGTTTCTGGGGTGCGGGTGCATGTACAGATGCTGCAATTTCCCCCACCTCAGCTGGCAGAGGCACAGCAACAGAAGGAGCAGACTCAGCTGAGCCACTTGCCTCTGCAACCTCTACCTCAGCCTCCTCTGAAGTGCATTCTGGGGAAGGAGATCTGGCCCTAGGGGAAACTTGAGGGGTGTGGAGCACAAACTCAGATGATTCCCCCTCCTTACCCAGAATTCCCTTGCTATGGCACTCAGATCCAGATCCAGCTCCACCTCTTCCTCTGGCACTGGAAGGTTCAGGATGGGAAGTGAAATGGGGGTGGAGGACACCGTCATGCTGGTGCTGCTTCTTGTCATGGTGGTGGGGGGAGGGGTTATAGCTTGTGCTCTTGGAGGGGATGCACTCAGGCACAGGCAGTGGCACTGCTCCCCTCTCCTTGCTGCCTTTAGAACTGGAAGCCTCATCCCTGCTAGTTGTAGGGAAGAGGCTGTGTCTCAGTTTGGGGGGGACGGGACTTGCACTTCTCCCTCTACCCCCTCTTCTGCCCCTCCCTGAAGGCTTGCCAGCTGCCTTCCCACTGCGCTTCATGGTGTTTCATACCATCTTGTCTTTATAAAAATATATAAATGTATATGCACTTTCCTATATAAATTCTATATTATAATATGCTGCAAGATATAAATGTATAAAAACATATAAATGTATGTGCCTTCCTTTATAAATTCTATAGTATAATATCCAATATAATTATGAAATTGAAAAGAATAAATCAATTAATATAATAATAAAGTAAAAGGGTCTAGAAAGAGAGCAAAAGGTATTGCAAAATCCCACTTGCTAGGCTAGCAAGTAGGAAATTAAATCAATGGTAGTAGTAGCCTTTGTTCTCTAACGCTCCTGAGCTTCTGGAAGGTAGCTCAGCAACTGTCAGACCCCAAAGCAGAAAGCAGGCTGTTTTTCCATCCTTCCCCCAGAGCACTGGGATGTGGAAGGCACCTCAGGGAAGGATCACAGTCACTGGCCAGCTACACAGTCAATGTCAGAGCAGTCCTTCCCTCCTCTACCCCTTCCCTCTCCTTATTTTCTGCTTCCCTGCAGGCAAGCTCAGCTTCAGCTTTGAAACTTGAAATGTTTGGAAACTTTTGAAATGTTTCGACTGCCCTCCTTTCGTTTCAAGGCTGTTTCGAAGCCCTTCGTTTCATTTTGATTTTGCTGTTTTGAGCTCAAAACAAGTCAAAACAGCATTGAAATGAAACAGACGGTGAAATTTCACACAGCCCTACTGGAGAAGGTCTATGGCACCTTTTATGTGCTCTAGTCAAGAGAGTTTGTATATTTTGTAGCACTACAAAAATAACATTTGCCTGGGGCCTAGATTCTACCCCCTGCCTTTGCAACAGCATGCCTATTGCTTGCTGGGCAACCATATATAATATTTCCATAGTTAGCCTGTAATAGTGTTTTCCTCAGCCTTGCAGAAGGCTGACCACTCATAACTGTAACTGAAGTCATCTGGTGTTCTCTTAACCATGGAAATTCTTGTAACAGATAAGTGGTCTGAAAAAATCAGGCCCCCAGTGTCTCAAGTTCAAAGGGAAAACACCTCCTTCCTGTTCCAGATGTAAGTCACGCCACAGCTAAGAGAAGCAAGACTAAAGCTTTTGAGGTATACCGTATTTACACAGATCCAAGATGAGGTTTCCCCCCATTCATTTAAAATGGGAGGAAAAAGCTGCTCATCTTGGATTTGAGTACATGGGGGGAGGTGGTAGGGAATAAGCAGGCTGCGGCTTTGACTCCAGCCCCAACGTGAGCTTGGGGGTGGAGCTGAAGCTGCAACTGCTACCCATCTTCCACAACCTCTGCCTCCCCCAGTCTTCCTGGTCACACACCACTGCCTACCCCACCCCTACCCTCACCTTCCTGGCCACATTTAGCAGCCTGCCCCCTTCCCCCCACCTCCACTACCATTTACCCTCAAACTCAGTATAGGAGCACATGGTCAAGTCTGGCCTGCACCACAATACATAGCAGGTCCCAAACTACCACCGCTGCCTGGCCAGGCAGGAGCCAGAGTGACCATGTGCTCCATGCTCTAGACTGGAGCAGAGGCAGAACTGGAGGGTAAGCAGGAGGGAGGAGAGGGGGCAGACATCACAGGGGGCAGATGGTGGGGGGGGGACAACTGGTGGGAATGGCAGATGCCAGGAGGTGCAGTCAGCAGGGGGAAGGGAAGGGAAGGTGGCAGGGGGAAGGGGCCAGACCACTTGATTCCCCTACCATCTACCCCCATACTGCTGCTTGCTCCACTGCAGCAGGGAGAGAAGGAGGGCAGACACAAATTTAAGATAATAATATGATATTATACATGGAAAATTAGTAAGTTTACACATTTTCCATGTATAAAGTGTAATTATGGCAGCCATCTTAAATTCAAAATCATCTTGGATTCACATAAATATGGTACATGTCCCACAGCTAAAATAATTCCTCCTTACATAACTTCTCCAGAATAAGGGATAAGCATAAAATAATAAATGAACAGAGAGCAAAAACAAGTTTTCATCTAATTACTTTTCTGAGGGCTGCACTCAAATGGCTTGAAAGCTGCATGTAACTTGTGAGCTGTGGTTTAGTCACCTCTACTTTATGTAGAAAAAAGGCACACAAAACACAGAAGAGAGGAGGTAAGCTGTAGTTACAACTGACATCTGATAGACAACAAGAAATTATGAAGAGACGAAAACAGACCAGTTGCAAGGAGCTGATAATTTTGCATGTGCCTATATGGTTACATATAAAATGTGTGGCATATATAGTTCCTGACCTATCTGGGCAGGAAGACTGCAGAGCAGTTATAAGATTTATACATCAAACAAGCATCCAGCACATTTTAAGATCATATTGGCTCACACCTCAACTACTCAGATACGGCCATTATATGAATAAAAAAGCAAGGCTCAGCTTCCCAAAGTATACATTTGCCAATTTTAATTCAAAATAATGTATTGATGATACTTCATAACATAATAAAAGTAATGACATCTTTAATATGAACCCTTATTACTATGAGCTATGAGGCTATTAACCCTCACTGAAGTAAGGAATGACTGGGTTTTTTCATTAATTACGGAATGTGTAAATGAACGGTCCCCAGAAATGTAAGGAAACAACATGTTTTCTTAGAGCTGATGCTTACTGAATACTGGAAAGAATACTGCATGGTATTAAGAATGCTTTGTATCAACAGAAGTCTAAAATTTACATTAAAAAGAAAATAAAGATTTTATATAGACCACAATTATACAAGGCCTAATTGAAAAGCCATGAATGAATACAGCATGACAGAAAAAAAAACAATGCAGCTGTAAACCAGAAGTGTTCCATCTGGAAAGACAAAGAAGAGTACTGATTACAGAAAATATTAAGGGAAATAAAGATTAATGAATAGGAAGTAGCTAATGAAGAAAATAGTTTATGAAGAAAGAATAAAATAAAAGGACCTATCGAGGCCTATGTCAGGTGGATAATGGGAACTACAAGAACACATTGTAAAATCTCTTTTCCTCAAACAATGCTAAAGCATAGTTAATAGGACAATGTAGTCATCTTAATCTTGTCATGTCCTTTATTTCTTCCATCCTTCCTGTAACTGTTCTGAAGGAAATGTAAATTGATGAGATTAAGGAAAGAAGGCAGGCACACAGATTTAAACATTACTTAAAACAGAACTCAGCATTACTTATGGTCCAAATTATGATGGTTGTTTAAATATTTATATAATTTTAAAAATTAAGTATCTTGGCGGGTTTTTTTATTTAGTGACAGCCACTGAAATTTATGAAAGGTAGGTGTATTGCTATAAGGAATCACTTCAACTGGAGAAAATGGGTACTAGTATAATAAAATGGATGGCAGGAATGGGACTGACTAAAGGAATGACAACTGACAGGATGTGGATATACCGAAATAACTATTGTGATGGAATGAAATTAATAGTGCAGCTCCCTGTGGACTAGTCTTGGGATGAACCTATTTACTATCTGCATTAGTAACCTTGACACAGAAATGAGTGTGGTAATACAGTGGAAGCACTTTCAGTACTGAGCAGACTGGAGTGTCAGGAAGAACTGAATATCCTGAGGAAATGGAAACAGAAGGAAATTTAAGGGCCTCTATATATGTGCTCTAATGTGGATGGAGGGAGAGGAGGACGCTTTAATTAGAGTGGCTCCGAGAGCCACTTTAATTAAAGCACCTACAGCATCACATGAATTCAGTGTCCCACATTTCAAAATGGTGACGGGGGTGCTTTAACTAAAGCTTGTTTGACGAACGTTAATTAAAGTGCCCTGTCACCATTTTGAAACATGGTGATGCTGAATACACGCGACGCAGAGGCTGCTGGAGCATGCCAATTAGCACACTCCAGTAGACCCACAAAATACTTGATTAATTAGCTAATTAGTATGCATCGGAGCAGAGCTCTGTCACATGTGTAAGTGTCCAAACAGTACAAAATGTAATGTCATACAGTTAGAGACTAACAAGAATAACTGCCATTAGCAGGGGGCTCATGAGATTTATCAGGTGAGGTATTTCCAGTACAGATGTGGAAATATCAGTGTCTTTACACAGGCAGTTTTCTGGCAAGCTACACACAACTCTGTGTACCTATGGTTAAGAAAGACCAATTCAAATTTGAACAATTGTACAGAGGGGCTATATCAAGGGGAATGGATGACCTACTGATATTTTACAGGAGATTGTGACAGCTGGCTAGCTTGTTTAGCACAGTGAAATGAAAGCTGAGAGAGGATCTGATTACTCTCCTATATATGAATCGGATGGGTAAACACCAGAGAGGGAGACCCATTGGGACAATGTTGGCACAAGGACAAGTAGGTATAAAATAGCCAGGAATTACATTTAGGCCAGAAATCAAGTGGGTCATATCATTAGGACAATGGAGCTCCAGAACAGCTGCCCAATAGAGGTAAAGGAATGAAACAATCTACGTAGCTTTAACAGAAAAATTACCCTGAAAAATCTATATTATTTAGCCTCTAACTTATTAATATTTCAATACATATACGTTTTTCTTACACCTTTCACCAAAACAGAACATGGCTTACCTCATGTTTTAAATCTATTGTAAAGTCTGACTTGAGTGGTTCACTTTTCAGCCTCTTTGCAAGCCTGCAAAATGAGAATGAAATTTAGTCTCTTCTGAAAGGAGAAACAAGAGAAATTAAGGAAGGTGGCAACTGATATTTTTATACAACCTTCAGATTCACTATGCTTACACAATGCCAAAGTATTTTCTAGCAGCCTCTAAATGAAGACCATTTCATTTACAATAGTAAATTTACAAACAATTTAGACTGTACTAGGTACAATGCCCAAATATGCAACAAATTAAATTTCTTTTAAAACAGTAACATTCAAAGTTACTGTGCCTGCAAAATTTAAATAAGTCACCTATCAATTTTAGGCTGGAGGTCGGTTTGGGGGTTTTTTTGGACTGTCCTCTGCAAACTTTCCCATCTCGAGATTTACTGGACCCAGGGGGCCCTAGCAGATGTTATATTTATAGTACAACTGAGGTCTCAGACTGAGCCTGGGGCTATCCGGTACTGGGAAACAGCTGCTGCCTATCCAATCCCCAGGACTGAGCTGAAGACAGCCCCAGAACCCAATTTTACCACAGCAGTCACATAACTGGAATCTGAGAAATTTTATGTCCTATCCCAGAAATGGTGCATCTTGCCATGCACGTTGTTCATGGCAGGATACGTGATTTCTGGGATGGTGCATAAAATTCCTCAGCCTTCAACTGCACCATTATATTAACATCTGCTAGGGGCTAGAGGCTATTCATATGAACAAAGCTGAAATGGAAAGTAAATACCTGGACAGATTCTTAGTACTCCTATAAATCACAATATTTCTTGCCCAATAAAAAATCCTCAGAATGAGCGGACCAAAAATCTAGCATCAGCTGATTAAAGGCAATTTTGTGCTTGCAGCTACCTGATGAACAGACACCTCCCCTTTAGTCTGTATGTAAAACTTGTGACGAGTGATGCACCTTTTGGTACTAAAAATATATATTCCTGTATAGTATATAAATATAAAAGTGTGTGTGTGTGTACACACACACACACACACACACACACACCTGCATGTGTTATTATACCTATAAAAACACACACATGCATCCATACATATACAAACACCTGTGTGTGTTTTTATATTTATACACACACACTTTTATATCTATATAATATACAGGAATAAACATGGTTAGTATCAAAAAGATGCATCAGACTTCACAATGTTTTTAGCTGAGATTCCGTACCATAAAGTACATAATGAGAATCCAAAGTTAAATGCAGAACTATATTTTTGTTTAAGTCTTTGCAAAATTCCGGTAGTTTTTAAAAAAAGGAACCCGCAGCATGTTTATAGGCTCAGCAGTGCTACGCTGGCTAGCACCACAGACAAAAGGGACTTGGGGATCATGACTGACCACAAAATGAACATGAGGCTTCAATGTGATGCTGCGGCTAGTAAAGTGACCAAAACGCTGGCTTGCATCCATAGATGCTTCTCAAGCAAATCCCAGGACATCATTCGCCCATTGTACTCGGCCTTGGTGAGGCCGCAGCTAGAGTACTGTGCCCAGTTTTGGGCTCCACAGTTCAAAAAGTATGTGGAGAAGCTTGAGAGAGTGAAGACAGTCACGCACAGGATCAGAGGTCAGGAAAACAGACCTTATGATGAGAGGTTGAGAGCCATGGAACTCTTCAGCCTGGAAAAGTGCAGGCTATGGGGTTATCTGGTGGCCACCTACAAGTTCATCAGGGCTGCTCACCAGCATCTGGGGGAACGTCTATTCACCAGAGCACCCCAGGGGATGACAAGGTCGAACTGTCAGAAACTCCTCCATGACTGTTTCAGGCTGGTATAAGTAAGAATTTCTTTATGGTCTGAGCCCCCAAGGTTTGGAATAGACTGCCACCGGAGGCGGTTCAAGCACCTACTTTGAATGCCTTCAAGACACATTTGGATGCTTATCTTGCTGGAATCATATGATCCCTGCTAACTTCTTGCCCCTGGGGCAGGGGGCTGGACTCAATGATCCTCCTGGGTCCCTTCCAGCCCAAATGTCTATGAAATCTATGAAAGGGTCAAAACATGAAAATAAGTGTGCCT